AAGGGGGGCGGTTATCCAGGGGGCGGTAACGGCCGGGTCTGTCCCCGCGGTGGAGAGACCGATGGCCGCACGTTCAGCGCCCGGGAGGGTCGGTTCCTCAGGGAGCTCTGGTGCTTCGGGGTCGCCTCTACCGGCTGGAGCCTCGCAGCAAACCCACCGAGCCCCCATCCGTGGCCTTTAAAGGGAGGGGATTTCGGTTTTTTCCGTGCCGTTTCGGGTCACCTTCCACAGCGAGGCGGGAAGACACCCTCAGGAGCGTGGGGTGTGGAGCTCCGGCCAGCAGAAGTCGGCGTACGGCTCTGAAGGGGCCATAAATAGCAGAGGAAGCTGCCGGTTGTCTCCTGCCAGGGGCCCGCGGACGGAGGATCTTCTCTCCAGGCATGGACTTTGTTGGGAAGAGGCCGTGAAGGCTGAGGTGATACCATTTACCGTGCCCCTAACATAGCCATTTTGTGCTAAAATGCCTTTATGATGTTTTGTTTTGTTTTTTTAACTTAAAGCTACCCTCAATAAGTTCAGTATTAATTATTCAGTTGACACAGAGGGCAGTCAACATTATTTTTCTTTCTATCCCCCGGTGAAGTGACAGAGCATCTTTGTCCGTTGCAGGTGATTTTAACCAGCACTGATGTGCCCAGGAGCATGTGTGTGCATGTTCAGTATCTTTCCAGGCATCTCCTCTGTCCTTTTCAATAGAAGAGGTTTGAAAGTATATCTCAATTTTGCCCTGTTATTTTTGTAGGGAAGATGGCTAATGTGAGAAGAGTGAGGAAAAAAAACCCTAAAAATAGACACATAAAATGGAAGAATCATTGAATCTATTTTGGTTTTCTCATTTGTTAAATAGATTTTTTTTTTTTTTCCCCAAAACACATTTCAAGGCTTGTCAGAGACCACGGTAAGATGACATCTTTACCTTGAAGTTCAGAGTATTTCAAAGGAAGCTGTATACTCTCCTTTAAGTGTAGGAAAGGGGAGGCAAGGAGAGGTTAACAGCAACTCATTCAGCAAAGGGTGACAAGACAGGAATGGAGTTCTGCATGGTGACTTAGGCCAGTGAGGCAACCATTACACAAAGTTGTCTTCTGGGTTGGTTAGTGTTTGCAGAATACTTTAATATTTTAAAGTACAATATTACTTTATGGAGGCAAAATGTGAAGCACTATAAGTGACACTGCGATAATGTATTTTTTCCCCCTTTAATTATCTTCCACAGTCTGTGGACTCCACAGATCCCTGTTAACTGTCTCTGGCTGCCCTATATATCTTAGGCAGGCTGCATTAGAGCAATCATTAATTAATCTCAGGGAGAAGCATTTGTGTGCTAGTGAACTAGATCTTCATATTCCGAACCTGTGTGCCATCCCAACTGAGCTGCAGGCCACCAAGGAAAATCCAGGGGGCCTCTTTGCTCATTTCAGTGCTCTTTCTGGTGAGCACTATCAAATGATTTTTCTTCTCTATCTGGATAAATTGCTTGATATTTGAAATTTCTCAGTAGCCACAGAAATGCCAGAAATACGGGGCTGAACACATGAGTTAAGGTTCTGTGAGTGATAGGTGGGAGGAGAAAACAAAAAAACATAAAGACTGGAGAGTAAGGAGATGAGAAAAGCAGACATCCGTTCCTTGGCATCCAATGGAGGGTAACCCCTTCGGGTACAAAATCTATAAACAAAGAACAGAGCTGAAATAACCAATGCTCACGGATGTTTTCAGCAAGGCAGTGGCTTTTATTCACTGTCGTGTGGGTTGCCTCTGAACCAAGGATTCAAAGCGTACCTTTGTGTGAATCAATTTTACTCCAGTGGTTGAAATTCAAAATTATTGAAGCTGAAAAGAAGAAAATCTTATTAACTAAAATCAATTTTAATCTTCTCCTACACTTGCACTTTCTTATTTGCAAAGGAATGTTAATTTTCTTTTATTTGTAGCATTAAAACATGTTGGTCTGTCAATACATGCAGCCATAGTGGTAAATTCAGTAAGCAGAAGGCTCTTCTTACCTATTTATGTTATTCTATAAACTTAACGTTCAGATTCTCAGGTTTTGTGTGTTAGGAAGTAGTGTCTGATTAGACAGCTGATTTTTTAATTTTTTTTTTTTTTTCCAGTATGTGTCAGCTTGCATTTGGAAGAAAATAAATCTGCATTTAAAGCCTCGGAGTCTTCACTTGCATTTTTTGAAGTTAAAAAACATCTATTTTGTTTATCCTTCGTATATCTATCACTCAAAACACTAACCATTCAAAAATCAAAATGACACATTAAGGAAAAAATAGGTTTTTTTCCAGTTGTCAGCTCATTCAGAGTTGTGGGATTAGCACATGTCCTTCTTCAACATCTACTTTTTTATTTATAGATCGAAGAGGAAAAACTAGATTTCCTGTTTTCATAGCTCCCAGATTGTGTCTTGGCTTTGTATGAGCTAGTTCAATTTGTTGAGATGAATAGGAAACTGCGTTTTCAGAAATGATACTGATGAATAGGAAACTCTGCTACTTCTGTCAAAAGCTGATTTTGTGCTTTGCCAGCCTATGGCTCAGCTATTCAGCTGATGACATCTGCCAGTCTAGTATGCTGCCATGCTTTAAAAATCCTGGCAATGTTATGTACTACCTTAATAATTCCTTATAGCCTCTGTACTCCCAGGGTCTGTGCCCTCCCATAGCTCATAATCTCTGTTGGCAAGGAGAAAGATCTCAGAGTTGTTAAAATACCAACTTGATGTGAGAAAACAGGAGATCCAAACCCCAGGAGAGGTATCCATGGGGCCAGCAGTCTCAAGGAGGTGAGAGCAGAGGTGATTTAATGAAAAGCATCTCGGTGCCAGAAATAAAACTTTAAGGTCAAAGACAATTTCCAACAGAGGGTTTCTGCTAGTTAATTTTCAGAAAAAGCAGGCTCCAGCAGCCTCTGCTTTCCCAGAACCCCTCTCTTATGGATGCCCCAGGTTCATATATTTCTTATCCTGGAATACCAAATTACAGGAAGCTTAATAACAATAATTCCTCCCCCTCCCCCTTATTACAAAAATGCCTGGATTAAGCCAAAACCAAATGAAAACCACTCTGAGTTTCCTTACTTCTCTGTACATTTTTGTGGAATTATGCAAAAGGCCTCTCTGGAAGTCCCTACTACTTTCACCTCCTGTCTGTGCATTCTCTCCTGAGGCTGTTTTTTCTTTCATCATTTCTCACTGGCAAGTGAGAGCCTTTCTGTTTCATGGCTTCTGTTTCCATGTCACAATGTGTCTTGGTCAGCCCCAGCTGATGGTCAGGCTCTGGTCGATTCATCTCTAGGGACTTGCCTTCTGGAAAGGTACATTTCTCTCAGTGGTATCTTGGGGGATTTCAGTCTAATAAGGAGATAATCAGGGTTTTACAACCTTTCATCATTACCCCTAGGAGTTTCATTTCAGTGATTAAAAATATACAGGAGATATTGAAGACAGACACCCCCTCAAAGCAGAGTTCATAGTGGTGCAAGATGCAGAGTATCAGCACCAATCAGTTTTAAACTGGTATGTAGACAGATTTTTCTAAATAATCACACAATCCACTGATACCATACTAATGATACTGAAGCATTCACTTGTCCGCAATTGAAAGTGATGCATTTTTAATACCCTGGCATCACTGCACTTGTATCTGCACTTGTATCCAATTGAGAGTCCCCTGAGCCAGCTAATTCCTGCTGCTGAAGATACTGTCTAAATATCTTAGATTATATTTACTGTGCAATGCATTAAGCAATCCTGAATCACTCCCATGGGAATCTTCCAGTTCTCTGTTGGTGCAGTTTGGCTCTCCAGCAACTCCTGGGCTGCAGCCAGGTGTAACTTTGAGAAAGCTCTGATGTGAAGCCGCCAAATACCTTGCCTAAATAAGAACCATGGGGTGTACTTTGGTGTTGGTATTTTTCAGATAATCCTTTCCAAAGTGGATTTACAATTGACTGTGTTTTCCATTGGACTGCATGGATGCAACTTCTTACTCTCTAATTGCAGGTATTTCTATGTGTGGTCTCTCCTCATTTTGTCAGAGTGAAGCACTGGGGTGCTTGATCTTGCTGGCACAGAGCAGGGCAGGAAAGGAGAGGAGACCAAGACAGGGATCTTCTGAGTAGAAAGGAAAGGAAAAAGAGCTCATGTTACCAACACATGGTCCTAGTTTTTAGTTATTGTAAAGGTCAGGCAAGAGTCCAAGATGCATTAAAACATTCTGGTGAGACCACTGCATGATTTCCTAAGGAAAAGAAATGGGAGTCTTGTAATCCTTCACTGAAATAACCACCTGCCAGCCAGCTCCCTAGCTATCTAGTACTTCTCTGTCTTTTGTTAGTACGAGTGCTTCACACCCACCACTGGTGCTTCGTGGCTCTGCGGTCTTCAGACATAGCAACTCCCAGTGTTTCTTACTTGCACATGTGTTTGTGCATACACTGTGCAGAGGTGTTTGAACTCTGGAAAGTAGATTGCGCGGCTCCAAACTCTGTTTTCATGTACTACATGCTTGTTCTGTTGTTACTGTCTTCTAGGCATCTGCTTGGATGCCTAGAGGAGGCACAACACCGGTTTGATGTGTGGAGCAATCTGCTAGTGTATCTTCCATTCCCATTTAATGCTTCAAACTGAGAATGAATCAGAAAACCAATAAAAATAGATGCTGCACTTGATCCCAGCCTAAGGCCACTGCTGTGGAGGCAGGATGCTGAGCTCAAGTTGGTGGGACTGACTTCATTTGGCTGTTCCTATGGTACAGTGTAATCCATCAGTGACCTCGTGGATGGGGTGGGAATTACAATGGGCACCTGCTGTTTGAGGGTGCAGGATGGCCTGCTTTGGCAAATGCAGAAGTGAGGGCTAGAGCAGGGGAACAGAGAGAGCATGTCTCCACTTTACTGAGATTTTTCTCCTACAAGATTTAGGGACTTCTGTTGAGTTTATTCAAGATTCATATCTAAACCACTTGGTTTGCTTTGAAGATTTCAAACCAAGCTCTATTTTCAACTCATTCTTCTTTTAAAGCCTTGGTTCTCTTTAAAGGCCAATGTGCATGTGCCATTAATTCACATTTTTAGCCTAGTATAATAAACATACAGAAACAGATCTCATCCCTGTGGAGGCAGTGGGAAGCTTTGAGTCCTTTGTCTCAACTTGTCTTCTATCAGTCTGGACAAAGAAGTGAGGAGACAAGGGTAAGACAGCACTTCAGGCTTTTGCTTTTAAAAAAGGTAGATCAGTATGGTTTGGGTATTTTGAAAAAGTCAGTATGCAAGAAAATCAATTAGGCATATCATTTAGTATAAAATAAAAATGCTCAGTTATTCTTGTATGCTGTTTTCCAGCCTTCAGTAATACTGATGTACACAGCAGTTACTATTCTGTGACCTTTGCAAAAGTTATGGAACAGCAGAGGAAAATAAAAAGAACTGATTCATATAACAGATACTCTGTAAAATGTCCCTGACTTTAAAAAAAATCCTTTGAAAATGGCATCCAGAAATGATTTAGTGATACTTCAGAACACCTCTCTCTGCTACCTTTTTTGTGTGTTTTTTGCTGTATCTGTAGTATACAGTCAGCAAGCATTTGTCTCACAAAAGGACAGCAGGGAGAACAAGGTGCCTGAACCACCCACTGAGAGCCAGCACGCCTTAGCCCACACCCAAACAAGTCTAGTCTTGCTGCAGCTTCAGCTTCAGTGATGGTCAGCCCGTGCTGGCCGACACAGTTCCGGCTCATGGTGCCAGCGGGATTGGTCCAGAAGCTTCTCAGCAGTGTCGGCCAGTGCTGGCACTAGTGTCACCTGCCAACAGGTGGGACCTGTTGTGCCAGTGATAAATTGGAAGGTTGGTCTGTTGGCGCTTGCCTGCAGAGATTGTGTTGCTTGCCCACTTCTACCTTTGCTTTTAGCTTAAGATTTTGGCACCCTCTGCTCCTGAGGGAAAGACATGGGGCTGAGGGTTTTTGGTGGCATGACTCATCTTACTGCATTATCCCCTCTTCTCTGGTGCTCAGTGCCATCTCTGGTTTGGGCAGCCCAGCTTGAGGTCTGCTCCTGCTCAGATGCAGACCCAGAACATGGTCATTTTTCTTGTCTCTCTCTCCAGGAAATGAAAGGGTCTTGAAGCTTGTGTATTAAGAGTGGGGGGAAAGACAGGTGTGATCTGTGAGCTTTGTCCTACCTTGCTGGGATGGCACAGGCGAATGTTTCTCTTTGTGCCTCATGCTGTTGTTATACAGACACTTAATGCAGCAATGCAATGGCCCACTGTCATGAGGGGTACTTTTTCTCCCCTTCCTTAGACATTCTATCCTCTAGGGGTAGCTTCATAGTGAACCTGATGAGAGAATCCATCTGGCTGAAAATACATTTTATTTTCTTTTAAAATGCAAAAGGGTTATTTTCAGTGAGATAAAAACCCCTGTCAAGCTCACTGCAAGCTGCACAGATGCTCATACTGATAGGGAGGGGCTGTTCTTGCCTTGCCTTCTAAATTGTCATTCATCACAGCTTTAAGTATTTGCTAGATTCAAGCAACTGTGTAATCTAGTTTGAGCTATATCACCATAAAATGGAGACAGACACTGTCCTCTGTTTCAGCAGGGTATGGTGAGGATGCATATGTGAAAGATCATGTGGAGTCATTTAGGTATTTAAAACAGATCCAAAGTTGTTGAGGGAGCCCTAGATTTTGTCCCTCTCCCAGCATAAGGTCTGAATTAAATATGCTTTTTTACAGAGGTCTTGCCACATGTTTTTGTACTGTCTGAGGCTGCATGTCCTGCATTAGACCAGTGGGTTTTGTCATAACATGATTGACTGACAACAGATCTGCCCTGAACAGCTGAATGCATCTGATACTATCTATTTTTTCATGGGTGCAACCTGCCAGCAGATAACCCCTTTAAAAACACTAGGGATTGGAAATAATCCTTTGGGTAACATGCATCCTCAGCAACATGCACATGCACAAAATCAGAGGCAGGGTTGGGTGGAGAAGGGACTGGGGATGGAGAGGCTATGGAGTAAAAGGAACAGGGGAAGGAGGATCTGCGGCTGGAGAGCTCTCTTTCAAGGTGTGTCTCTAGGGTAAATTCCCCTTATGTCTTCCTGATCCTGGGTTACTCACAGTGCTTCTAAAGCACAGGTTGTTTTTTTGCTTCTGCGGATGTGACTGAAGATACAGTGCCAGTTCTTCTTATGTGTTGTACAATTTATGTGACTACAAAAATAAAAATTGATGCTCCTTACTGCTTACTGTCTATTTCTTCCTCTCATGTCAGCTCTGAGCCGTCATAAAAAGGTTACTTGTGCTGCAGCAGGGATTTAAGATCAAGGATTTTATTAGCTTGCAGGAAGGCTCTTCCTTCCTGTCTGCATTCAAACCGGATAATTTCTCTTCTGTTAGCAGCAAGATCAAGCCCTGAAAACCAATGGAAAAAAATTCCTTTGACCTAAATGGTGCAAGGCCAAGCTTTTGGGCTCCTGCTTTTTGTGTCAAATACTTATACTGTCATGGGAAGCATAAGCAGCAGTAGCTTTCCTGCATAGTAACAGAAGACTGTGCTTCTAAAAATTCCTCTACAGAGTGTTTTTGCAGAGCCGCCTCCCCAGGGTTCTCCATCTGTTTTCACACGGAGATTAATAACAAATTGTTTGGCTAATAAACTGCTCCCTGCTATCTCTGAAATTTGGCCATTTCTTTTCCTTCCCTCCCATGGACAGTTACTAGATTCTTGTCTGCCCCTGTGCTCCCACATGGGAGACATCACTAATATTAGATGCACAACAATTGTCATGCTTCAGCTCCACAGCAAGGCTTTTAAGGGGTGAAGATCTCAGTGTATGGCTGAAAGAGTTGGTCCTGTGGACAACTGTGTAGTGCTGAGGGCTGGCCTTGTTCTTACAAGACGTAAAGAAAAGGGAGAAAAAATAAGCTTTGTGTACACTACCGTGATTTCTGCAAGAGCCTGTTTTTCAGAACTACAGAGAAAATATTCCCAGAAAAAAATGGGACTGAAGTGTGAACCTGTTTGATTCACCAGCATCCCTGTGGGATGTGGGGCTGTTGGTCTTTCAAAGTGCTCTGTTCAGAAGGTTTGGACCAGGTGGCAGAGGGTGTCCCAGCTGTTCCATTGGCAGAAACAAATGAGAGAAGAATAAACATCTACTGTGAAAAGATTGGAAGGGATTTTTGTGATCTTTCAACCTGACAGCTTCATAATACAAACCACAGGACTTGCCCACATTAGCACCTCTTTTGGTCAAGTACTGGTGACCAAACTGCTGCCAAGATACCCAGTCCAGATTTGGAAGTTTCCAGTGATGCGACAACTCTCCACAGCCCTCAGTGATGTATATCAAGTGACTCCTACCCACTTTGTTAAAACACCTACCTTACATCTGCCCTGTATTTGTATCTTTCAGCTTTTTACCTTGCTGCATCCTCCTCTGCTGGATCAGAGGGATCTCCTTCACCATGTTTCTGGTGTAGACTAACTTCAGATTTTACCTCCTTGTGCCTTAAACAGAATAATCTGGGCTCCTTCACTTCCTTGTCCCAAGGGCTCTGACCCAGCCACAGCAATGGCACTTCTTCGGGGCCCCCATTGCCCATTCCCTCCCCTCTTTCTCAGCTCAGGAGCAAGAGAGGAAGAAACTGAGCTGCCACCCCTTGATAACTCTGCTGTTTCTTTCTAATTCACAGTGGCAGTAGCTGCTGTAGTTGGGGGGTGGGAATGTCAGACATAGCAAAATAACTAAAGGATCATAGGTGTCTTCTGGTCATCAGCACCCCACCTGACTGGTGAGCACAAGAACTGGACACAGATTTCCAGTGCCTATGTCTGATGGATTCAAAAGTTACATCACCTTGCTCCTCCTTGCATAGTCAAGGTTGACATAGTCCTTTACGCTTTGGCACCACACCGAGAACTGACGTTAGCTTATCATCTACTTTGAGTTTAACCAAGGTCACAGCTGGATAAAGTTTAAGAAAGAAAACCACAATGACAAATCTTTGACTGTAGCTTTGTGTTATTTTTAAAGGTTACTGGCAAGTCATCCCCTTTTCAAGGCAGTAGGACTGAGTGTGGAACTACAGCCAGGAACTCTGGGAATCTAATCCCACATCAGATTCTGTGTCTCCAGACTTTTAGTAGATCATCCCAGAAGCGATGCTTATGGTTTCTCTGTGGCTCCAGGCCCGTTTCCTTCTCACCACCTCTGGGAGGGGAATCTCACTATTGTCTCAGGGGCTCATTAGGCTTCATTGAGTGATTTTAGGATTTCATAGATACAAAACATGAAGTTTTATTGCTGATTCTCAGAGGAAAACATTAGAGCTTATTGTACCTCCTGGATTAATTTACTACAAAAAGTGAGTTTATTCCACAGAATAAATTTATTCACTTCCCCATAAAGGCATTTTTAAAAAACATTGAATGGAAGCTTACGTGAATTCCAATGGATATGAAGAGATCTCGGAGTCCTGCCAATGTTAACACATTAAGAGCCAAAGCTTGTTACGGGAGTTAAAAGGGGGAAGTGGAAAGCAAAGCATTCTTGTTTTTTCTCCATTCTCTGTTGAGGTTGGGCTTTGGAATGGGAGGAGAATGCACAGGCAATGATCTTGAATAATCCATGCTTATTTGGTGCACCAGACTAGGGCAATCATCATCAGTGCCCCTCTTTGTTCTTGCTTCCCATCATCAACAGTGAATATTTATACTGAGTTGCTTCTATGTAGTTCTAAAGTACAACTTGACACTGCAGTGAAGGGAGACTATTTGCATTAAATTGTGTATTTTACAGAGCTGTTTTCCAGTATGTCTGCAAATTTAGGCATACATTTTTGCATGGCAGGTGTAAACTGAGATGGCAATCTGAACAGCCTGTTCCCAGCCATTCTGCAGAGCTAGCCAAGATATTCCCTGTCTAGTGACTTAGAAGTAGTCCAACTTCTGAGGTATGCTGAACCTTGATTTTTTTTAAATTCCATTTCATGTACCTTCTGATCACCAGGGAAGATTTATTTTCTATAATGGAAAAAACAGTCTGAATTGTTCAGTTCTTCAAAGCCAAATAGAGCCAACTGGCCACAGTTTTAGGTGTTAAAGTGATACAGTTAAAAGTTATGTGCTTGTGTGTGTGAGTGTACAATGCATAAATGATTGATCTAAAGTTCTGCAGAAAATTTCAGAACAAACCAGCAAAATCATGTATATGTAGGAAGACCAGGACCATACTGCCAAATATAAAAATGCTCAACTTTTTTCTAGCATCTCTTCAATTAAAACAATTTCCCCAGCATTGTGTGGGCTATAAATTATGATAACTGTGCTTCTTAGTTTCCTGTTAAAGAGATGACTCAGATACAACTTATTTATTGGTCATTTGCATTACTTTAAATGTTCATGTGAATGTTCAACAGAGCTCTTCAGAGTTGTTAAAATGTTAATGAGTGTACTCAGACTTGTACCTAAATACTTCATGAATACTTGGCACAGTCAGTTTCTTAAATGTTATGAAATATCAGAACCATTAATCTTGCATCTTTCACGTTCATGGAGCAGGAATGGTCTGCCTTGGTGCATGTTTAATTATGTTTTTTACTTAGGCAGCTTTCCCATAGCTAACAGTGTCACTTGATATTGTTGTTAATTTTGCTGGAATGAGGACTCAAAAACTGAGCCTTTATATTTGTTACAAAGATTTGTGAAGACTTGGGGTTTTTTCCCTGCACAGTCAGAAGACTTTGCTGTGGTTTCCAATTCTCTCCCTCCCAGTGAAGTCATCTTAATAATAATTTTGCTTTAAATTCACTGTATATAGTGTATTTTTCAGGTTTGGCAGCACTACATAATGCTAAATTGGTAAGGTTTGAAGCATCATTCATTTTTACATCATTAGATTACTTTTATATCCTTGAAATGGGCAGTAAATCAGAGGACACTCAAAATGAGAAAGACTGGCACCAATATAGATGTTGTAATGCAGGATGAGCACAGTGCTCCTGCCGCAGTTGTCTCTCATCTAGGCCAGCCCCTTAAATCAGTCAACTTATTTTTCATCTGTGATTTCATTTCTTCATTCTCATGCATGTGGGCCAAAACTGTTGTCTTCTGTTTGCTTTCAGCATTACAGAGGAATGTTAAATTCACCTAATAAGCTGTTCTTGTTTAATCTCTGCTTATAAATGCTAATACTCTTTCCTTTTCCAGTAGCTTTGGTTTGTTATATTTAAAATTGGAACCTGAGAATCAGGATTAGGTGATATTATGAAATATGTATCCATGTAATAAAATTGATGTTCAGGACAGTAATAGGATCTTCAGATGACATTTAAACCAGTTGGAAGTAACCCTTTATAGGAAAATTCTGGCAATTTTTTCAACTTGATGAGAAAAAGTCACTTTTTCAGCCTTCTCTCTTGTTTTAGGCTGGGAATGGAGTACATAGTGTGGATGTCAGCAGTGGGACATTTTACCAAAACAAAGCATCCATGGGACCATTGTCTAATCAATGACTTCTAAGTGCAGAAGCTGTTAGATTGGAAATAAATGCTACAGGATGCCAAGTGAAGTGCTTGAGAGCAGCAGTGGGATGGAAGAGACCGTGCAAAAAGAGAGCAAGTCTGGAAGCCAGAGCCCTCACCGTGGCTCCATGAGAAGGGCTGTGGCAACCACTGTCACCTTTGATGGGGAAGCCACTATGGACCGGAGGAAAAAGAAGAAGAAAGAGTCCCGTCCTGAGTCAATAATAGTCTATCGGTCAGAGAATGAGAATAAGGTGGAAGAAGAACAGGCAGATGAAGAAGGAGGGGAGAGGAGTTCTGAGGAAGGCTCCAAGTTTCTGGGTCAGTCCATGGCAGATGGTATGTATTCCTGGGAACACCCACTCTCCATAAACTTTTTTTGATGCCAGCATGAGCTAAGGTCCAACCCTCTCCAAGACTGCAGGCAAGGAGAGCTTGAGTTCATACATGAAAACACTCTAAAATAAAAAGCATTACAGGCTGATTTGGGGTGTTTCCTGCAGTTCTTCGCAGAGGTTGGTTGTTGCCATACTCAGTTTTAAATGTATGTACTGGTTAGGGTTGATCCAGAAAGATGTTCAGCATGTTTTAAGCTTGATGTTGTGATCAAGCCCTTCCTTGCCCATGCCTAAAACAACTGCCTGTTAAGTGAAAGGATGGAAGCAGATGGATTTAGTGGTTCTACCTATGGTAGGGAGTTTTACTCATTATCTAGGATTTGCTTTTGCCATTCTGTTTTCATATTCTCATCACAACAAAGTCATTGTGGGGCATCTTGGAGCCTCTTCCACTTTTGATGTCTGTCCTGGATATGCTTGCAGGGAAGAAGTGTAGGAAGCAGGTACTATGGCTAATCCTCACCTGAGTCAGCTGTGCAGGCTGAGAGGGGCTTAAATATGAATGCATGTTCCTGGTCCACGAGCCACACCAAATTCCCCCATGATCTCAACCACTATCCTCATCACTTATTCTGCTGCCTTCCTATTTTTGTGGGCCACTTCAAACTGGTCAGCCTCCTTTCAAGAGCCTTGAAGACCACCTTCCAAGCTTGTCAGAATTAAGACCAGGAGGAAGCATATTTTAGCCCCATGGAAGACTTTATGGTCAGTACCACTGCAGGGACCATTCTAGATCAATGTCACTTGGAAGCTAAAGCAGTCTGTGTCTTTAACACACATTCCAACACTTTCCGGTTTTGTGCCTTTGTTGATCCCTTAAAATGCAAATACAATTATATGAGAGTTTGTGGGGTTTTTTCTAAACTCTGAAAAGTAATTTGGATTGAGACACAGTGCAAATGTAAAGTGAAATATTAGCAATTCAAGTTTAACTCCATAACTTAGTCACATTTATCTAATTTGTCTAATTCACCCCAAGTGTCCACGCTGTTCGGGACTAAATCTGTGAGGGTACCAGAGAAAATAGGCATACTAATTTTGATATAGTTATGCTGTCTCATCTCTTTCTCATATACTCCTGTAGCAATTTCCCTTCCCATATTGTCCCAAGCGCAGATACTGGAATCTTCTCCCTTGTGATTTCTGTCATCTGGAATTCCTGTCTTCTCCCTCATTAGCTCTTCTTCTATCTTCTTCTGTGATAATCTTCTTTATACTGCATTGCTTCTTGCATTCCATTATTTTTTAATGTAACTGGAACTCCGTATGCACTATCTAATTGTCTTTGGGAGTTTGGGGAATTTACACAAAATACACCATACAGAAAATAAATATAATGTAGATGAGTTTATCTGTGTTTGTAGGTTCCTGGAACATGCCTTTAGACAGCCGATATGTCACCTTGACTGGAACGATCACCAGGGGGAAGAAGAAGGGTCAGATGGTGGACATCCATGTCACACTAACAGACAAAGAACTGCAGGAACTGGCTAAGTCAAAGGAACCTCCTAAAGGGGACGTACCTGAGAAGAAGAAGAAATGTGATGTTGGGCTGGACAGAGGACCCCACATCGTCCTCTGGACCATCATCTGCCTCCCCATCATTTTTGTAGTGTCCTTTGTGGTTTCATTCTACTATGGAACCATTACCTGGTACAACATCTTCTTGGTGTACAATGAAGAGAGGACCTTCTGGCACAAAATCACCTTTTGTCCCTTTTTGATCATCTTCTACCCAATTATAATTATGGTTCTGTCTTTTTCCCTAGGCCTGTACTCGGCTGTGGCCCAGGTAGCATGGTCATTTGGGTACTGGTGGCATGCTGTCAGGGATATGGAAAAGGGCTTCTGTGGCTGGCTCTGCAGCAAGCTGGGTTTGGAAGATTGTTCTCCGTACAGCATTGTCGAGCTGCTAGATTCTGACAATCTCTCAGGTAGTCTCTCTGGCAAGAGCTCTGCGCAGGGGGTTGAGACCTCAGTAGTCTGAGCCTTTGTGCTGGCTGACTATTTTGGTCATATGCGAGTGGTTTTCACCTAGAAAATAACACACTGATTTTTTTATATATATATATATATATTTAAACACAAACTTAATGAGTAAAATATTGGGCTGGGAGTGCTCTTTAAGTGTCACAGAATGCAAGTGTGTTAGCTTCATTTGGTCTGGGTGGGGAGGTGCATTGCTGTCCAAGGATTTGTCATCTGTTTTAGCTAGTTACAGTTCTGGGAATGGTAGAAAATACAGGTATGTGGGACTCAGGCTGTTTTTGAAGTGGCAAATATACATGCTGAAAAGTCCACTTCTGTAAAGTTAAACTTCACTTTACAGGAACAGGACATAACAGTGACCTGTTTACCTAGTGAAAAGAAGTCTCTACTCGGGGGATAAACTTCAGGAGATAGGAACCCATTCAGAGGTGAAGGCTAAATTGCAAAATGTGTGATGTTCCTGCAGTTTTCATAGAAAGGGTCCTTTTCCAGTCCTTCCGACAAGTACAGCAAACTTTCCAGGTAGGCTAACTGCTTAGACACTGTCAGATTTTGACAAACAGACCACTGGAATAGTTGCACTTGGCCTTTCACTGGGAGAGGACAGCATAGCCACCAACAAAGGCACATGAGCTCTACACTGACCTGAAACACACCCATGACATGATGGAAGAGTAGGGCTTGCTCTGTAATGCAGTGCATGAGGACCTGAGAGGCCTGTCACCAAGCTCCCTCGGGTGACTGTAGGTGCACAGATAGGTGCTTAGGACATACCTGCATTTGATCTCTTAATGGGTGCACTGCTAGGAAGGAGTGGGCTACGGGAGTCATACACAGTATGCAGTGCAAACAGTTGCATTATAGGGAAGAAACACCTGTTCTGAGGAAGGGTGATCATTTTACATATCACTGCAATGCAGATGTGGACCAGCAGCACCTGTATTGAGGGAGGTGGAGTTGAAGGTGCTTGGGATGGGAAAGCCTCACTGAAACATTCTGGGTTTTATGTTGCTCTTATGGAAGAGCTGCTGGATGTTCCCTTTCAGAATGGGAGCGTCCCTGAGCCCCTCCTTGTCTGTTAGTGCCAGTGCAAACTGCATGAGTGCCTCAGCTCTGGAAATCTGTGTCCCACACACACGTTCTGGTTAATTATATGGAAGAGCAATGGATTATACATTCTCCTCCCCTCATGTCTCATTTTCATAATTGGTTTCCCTTCTTTTCAGACTTTTGCATGGCATCTTAGTGGGCTCCCAGACCAGGCTGAGGTGGCCACCATAGGCTGGAGAAATTTTAATTGTCACTTTGAAAAAATGACTAGCAGAAAAGTTATTTTTCTCGATTAACTGTTGGTGTTTTGACCTAAGGAAGACATGAGGTAAACGAGAGGTATAACGGACTCTAATGGGGACTGAATTACTCGTCTGACACATGATTAATTTTCTAAGTTCAGCTGGTGCTGCTGGAAAATCTGGCTCAGCCCTAACGCAGAGGAGTGCACCATTTGCATGCCTATAGGTAGATAATTTGTAGCATGCAGTCAGTCAGGCTGCTTAGTCATTCATGTCTGTATAGGTGTTTCACTTCCCCAGCCTCCCTACCAGAGGGGGAGCTGCTCTAGTTTTAGGATGGTAAAGAGAAGCATTCAGAAGCTGCATTTCACAGGAACTAATGCTTTGTGTTGCATTTCAAGGATGAGCTCAAGACAACACTGACTGTCCTGATTAGGACATCTGGAAACTGGTGATGTATAAACAAGTCTATCTGATCTTCTAGGCCTGACACTGAGAAATAAGCAAAGTCCCTGCTGCTTCCTTAGTCTGTCCTCTTCTTGGAGGTCCAGCCAAAGCAGCTTTGTAGTGCTGGCTTGAGGATTAACTGTGTGAATAGCGTAGGAGCCAAATATCAAGAGCAGGCTTGGCCCCATGCTTTACTGACAAAGCAGTGGTGCTCCCTGGGCACAGGTACAGCCAGGCTGCTTTTGCTGCTTCCTGATGCACAGCTTTCAGATTTTACTGGCTAAGTCTTTGAAGGCAATGACCAACTTCCAGCAAAAAATAAAATAAAATATACCCCAACCTGTGAGGCAATGGCAAGTAATTCAGTGGGGTTCAAAGAGGCAGACATATGGCTGGGACCAGTTCAAGCAGTGAAATGCCTTTCATGGGGCTGTTTCAATCAGGGAGCTTGATATGCCTCAGAATTAATAAAGAAGCTGAGGATAAGTCATGCCAGTGCTGACTGTAGTGACCCAGCACAGCTACTCTGCTTAAATACTCCTCCACATGGAAATCGAAGGCTCCCACATGGCTGGAGGGTGGGAAAAAATGATGATTAACAAGCATTAATGGGAAGGAAGGCCCGCTGGCAAGTATTCTCACGCTTTGCCTAGAGGGACACTGCTGGCATGAAAGGAGTGGATTGTGTATCTTGGCCCCAACATGCAGCAAACAAGTGGGTTTGGGGGAAGGATGGCTGGCAATTGTGCATTGCTGCAGAGGAAGAAAACCCAATTCAGCTGTCACTGCCAAAGAGCAGCTGTTCAAGCCTAGACGAAAGGCTGGGGTCAGTAGCACAAAGAGCCTTCAGCTTACAGAGGGCTTGAATGGTAAATACTAGCTCATTACAGAATACAGCCATGTGAAATGTCTGCTGAGCTGCAGGATTTGCTTTCAGGATTGCAAACAGCCTGCCAGAGTGGAGACAAAACCAAATCTGTGCCTCTTACTGCTATATAGACAGAAAGGAGCGTCAGAGAAATCATAGTACCCTCCCTCTGCCGTGGCAGCTATGCTTCTGGGTTTGGAGGCCACCTTTTGGGGGATACATCGTGTGTTTTCTACTTTACACTTAACCAAGCTTGCCTCTGCTCCTGCTGAAGTCAGGGTGTTCTGCCATTGATTTTGGTGGGGGCTACTTTAAGCTTGGGGTTAGTTTTGGTGCTATTTGTAAAAGTTTTATTCAAACTTTTCTCAAAACAACTCTGGATAGCTTTCTCTCTTGCCCATTATCCCCTGGAGTAGTTTGCCTGCTACAAAATATATAATTACCAATTGTTGTAATAGGAAAAAGCACAAGTTTTTGTCTTTGTTCTACCTTTGCTTTCAGAAACTCACAAGTTATTTCTGCTTATGTGCCACTGTCAAACTGCAGGGAACTCCAGTTATTCTGATTGTTGAGTGTGTTTCTGGCTGGTCTAGTCTGGATGTTTTTGTTTAAGTAAAGATAGTGCATTTGCTGATTGTTATTTTTAATTGCATTCCATTTTCCCATCCTTGCTGGCCTGGGTGGAGAATAAAGATGTATGTGGCTTTAGAAGAGTGTTCTCTCATGCTTCTGCTTGACTTTGTGTTAAAAACAGTGCTCTGGGATAGATCATTCTATGCTGATAATTGATTACAAGTCTTTATCTTTGATGACCCACTTTAAAGTGTGTCTGAAATGGTTCTCAGTTTTACCTGTTGTTAACATGTATCTCCACAGAACTGCTATATATCTGGGCTGTGGGATCTTCTTTGTTTTTACTTCATAGCACACAAATGAAAACTTTTGATTTAATTTCACTTGTTGGGTATCTGTTTGGCTTTAGCCCCGAGGATCTGTAGGGAGGGACACACTTCCATACCAAAACAAGAAGTATATTTAACTCCACAAATATGGTCTGTGTGTCTGTGACTTGGAGCTGCTGTTTACAGCTGTGCTGGGAAGTTTTCTTACAACCCCCAAGTACTTCAGACATGTCTCTCATAAGTCAAAGGAGAATATACCAATACAGTTCTTCAAGGTGTCTAAATATTAAATGCCACGCAGTCTTACTACAGTCCTACCCTCCTGTTAGCACAGGGCAAACACCTATTTGACATTTTCTTTCTTCTAAGAAGGAGCCGTGGATCTTTGGATAACCCAAATGAAATTTCTAGCCAAGGGCTAGCACAGCTTCAGTGAAACAGCTCTTCAAGCCAAAAGGCTACCTGCAGGTAACTTCCTCAAACTGGCAGTGCTGTGTCCACCTCAACAGCTGGAAACACCAGGAAGGTGCTTTTGGTGTGATGTCTGCTGCAAATATTGCCAAGGGAACAGGATTCCCTGCACGGCAAATGTATGCTGGGGGCTTCCCACCTCCAGTGAAGAACCTGGAGAAGGACACGCAGCTTCCTGGCATGGCAGGGTGGGATGGAGGTAGTGTGCCCAGCATAGGCCTTTGCAGTTCTCACCTTTGAGGTACAAGATAATAATTTTATAAGATAATGGTGAGCAGTGGAAGAGGCTCCTGTTGAAGGCCTTTGCACAAGGCAAAAAACACCTGTGTGACTGCACCATGTATTTCGCTAGGGGAAGAGAAGGTGCTAATTCCACCTGCTGACTTACCCATCCCATTCAGTTTCTTTGAGAACTGAAACAATCACAGCATAAGCTGTGCTTTTAATCACAGTCAGTCTCTTGAATTCACCCTTCTGATCCCTCAGGCCACTGCTTTGAATCCTGAGGATCCTGCAGTTCCTCACTCAGACTATCAGCAGGGGCTGCTCTGTAGACCCATGAGGCCACCCCCACAGATATCTTTTCAAAGCTGCAACCAGTAGTTAAGAAAAACCACTCCAATCTGCTCTTGCACACTGAAGCATGCAATTACACTAGTGTTAAAGAGAGAAAATAAGGATGCACGGCCCACCTGCATAGTGATGGACACAGTTTTGCTCAAAACTTATGCAAGTCCTTTTTGTCTCAGGCAGTGAATTACCTGTGGGACCAGTGTCCTTGCTTCTTTCCAAAGACTTGTTGATGTGGAAGCAGTTAGATTAACATGGATTCACTTCTGAGTAGATTAGTCCATCCAAATATATTCACTGTGTGGAAATGGGAACTCAGAGAGAGGCTGAAGCAAATTCAGGGGGCTAATCCACTTGAAAATGCAACTTTCAATTATTTTGGAAAATTAGAAGGGACATCATGTTTGCTTGTCTTAACTACTAAAGTATGATTTCTCTTCCAACAGGCAGCCACTTAATGATGAGAGGGCTTGTGGTTGTGTGTTTGATCAGGGTAAATTGTCAAGGGGTTCAAAAAGCCCCCTAAACATCCTTTCACCTAAACAGGTGAAGTGTGACTGCATGTGAATAAGCAGCCCAGAGAAACGAGGCTTGAGGGGCTCTTAGGGATCCCCTTTGGTCAACCAGTTCCATTAACTTTCAGTCATCCTAATTTCTTGTCATTACACGGTAGATGAAGTCTGTCAGAATGTATTAAAATAAAAATAACGCCTGAGTCAGGCCAACAATGTGTTTGTTCCTGTGTTTAAAAAAATGCCTGTGCTTTTAGTGTGCTAAAACATGAAAACTTCCTCCAGAAATAGAGCAGCTAAAATCTGCTGTGGTTTGCATCCATTGAAATTAAGTACGCCATGGATGAATTTGACCCGGAGCCCTCTTAAGACCCAAAGTTTCTGCTCAGATGTGATCTCCCTACCTTAGGGCTCCTTTTCCCAACCATTTCTTCCAGCTGGAAATTTAACTTCACAAGAGAAAAAAGGACAACTACTGAATTTGATAGTATGTTCTGCCTGACAAAGAGGATAAAAACCCACCTCCCAGACAACATGCTCCCTCAGGGCTTGGTTTATTACAAGTTCTTTCATCAGTAATATATATTAAGACCAATATATTCAAGGTGCCTTTGACTATCTTCATATGCATGCCAAATCCTTTCTGCTCTTACAGTGATAAGGTAAGTGAATCAATTATTTCTACTACAAAATACCAGCAAACCATCTCATTGTGATATAACACAAATATAGCTTAATTTATTCTAGCCTGGTTATCTGAATCACCTGCAGTTGTGAGCTTAACAACCCCAAATATTCAGTAAACTGAATGACTTGTACAGTGTCAGTGCTGGGCATGAATCCAACAGCTCCTGGGGTAGTAAGCCTAAGGAGAGCATGTTTTTTGTTCAATCTTTCTTTCTAAAATACAGTACTTGTCCTAAACTACAGAAGTGTCATCTTCTAATGTCTTTCTCTATGATATATTTAAATATATTGTAGTGAGCTGCCCTTATAATTACAGGCAATTACTAGAATATCCTTCTGTCCTAAAGGAGATTTTCCTTAACACTTTAGCCATGTAAAAGTTGTATGCAGAATTAATAAACACAGGCAATTTCAGCCTTCATTAATTTATTCAAATGAGCTCCCCTGTGAGCAGAAATGAGCAGAAATAATTCCTAGTATCTGCACATGGTAAAAGAAAAATAATTTGAATATATATTACAGTAAGCAGTATCATCCCAGGGCACATGTACTGCCATTGCTAAATGACATCTCTGTTCTCACCAAGTATTTGTTGGTAGAGCTACCTTTAGTGACTCAAAGCAGTAATGCTGACTCCTCTACAACACGACTGCACACCGCTGAACTCTAATACTGAAACAGGCTCTAAAGAAAAAGTTTCATGGGGTGGTGGTGACTTCAGCCAGCCCCACGATTACAGCAGGATTGCTCTGAGGCTCCAGTTCCACCTTAAAATTAAGTTGATGGCCAAATTTGCCATTTATTGCCATATAGAAAGTTATAAAAATTTTAATGTCTGCTTTATCTAGTACAAGAAATCTGTAGAAGTCAGCAGTTGACATCTTGATGACTTCCTTCCCACCAAGCAATTCCTGCAAAAAGTAACTGAAAGGGAAAACCTGAAATTTTTCTTCTCCTGCCTCTATGTCTCACACTTGCACATATCTGCTAGTGTCATGGGTTAGTATCAATTTACACAAATAAAACCCAAATTTAATACATTCTTCTCTCCAATAACAGCTCCCTCCTTCACACTGCTGCTTTGTCTCCCAAAGCTGTACAAACTGGGAACTCAAAAGAATCAAAAGCTTTAAACCACGACGTCCCATCCTCCATGTTGCAATGCTCCATTTTTAAAGTGTGCTAAGGCTGATTTCTCTAAAGATCAAAACTTCTATCCTTTCAGTCTGATTTCAGTCCACTTCCAGGTGTAGGCAAACAAATAGGGATTTAAAACGGGATCCTGTCTCCCAGCTCAGAAAGAGCCTTGTTCAGCAGCTGAAGACTCTCTCCATCCTGCAGATGGTTGGATGGATAAGGAACAAAATCCTGTGCTATGAGGATTAAATTGGACCATTAGCCACTGCGTCTGTGCATGCATACGTGCATGATGCTGATGGGGGAGGATACTAAAGGCTTATCCTTGTGCCTCCACAGAGCAAATCCTTCACACAGTGAGTTATCCCAGCTAGCTTGTCCAGAACAATCCCACTGCATGAAAGCGCTTTTCAGAGATGCTGAAAACACAGCTGGATTACCAATGGCTGCAAACAAAGACTTACTGCACGGAGAGATGTGAAATAGAGGAAAAGACTGTGAGTGGAGAACAAGATGTATGAGATTCTGCTTCTGTGATAACCCAATCTGAAATAGCAGCAAATACAAGACTTCTGGGCAAAATGTTGTTTTGCTGTGTCCTATAACACAGTCTGCATTTCCCCCCAGTTTCTAAGGTGGCATCTACTTTGTACTTATTACCTATTCCTAAACCACTGGCTTTAATTTTTTTCAAATGCTATTTGATACTCTTTTGCTCAGCTGTTGCCTTCCACAAAATGAGCATATCTGACATGAATTCTGGTCCTCTCCAGGAACCCAGGTACTCTGGAGTTCAGTTGAGCCAAACTACTTCTATTAATTTTAAAGAAAATTAGACCCTACACTGCTGAATAGTCCTCTAAAATGTAATAAAGAAATCATCTCTTGTAATGGATTTAACAACTAATCCAGAAAAGTCTGTCAGAGTTATTTCAAGAGTAGGAACATGTCAAGTTTTCAGTTACTTAGGAGTGGGAAATATTTTACCTCTCACAATACCAGGCTGAGTGGCCCTCAAACAACCTCCTCCAGAAATCCTTTGGCTAATCCACAGATTTAGAACTCATGAAAACATCATCCTAAACAGAAACTCGGATTAATAGATTTTAGATGTAGGAAGAAATTTTTAAATGTACTTTCCAAAAAAAGTTCAAGTGTATGTTGTGAGTTTGTTTGGTTTTGTTTTTTTTTTTTTTTTAATTGTCTAATTTCTGCCGCACCTGTATGCAGAAAATCCTCTGCAGTTTGGTGGTGCTTGCTGGGTGCTACAGGCTATAGCGCTTCTTCCAAGTCTTCCTTCTTAGTGACGACTGGGGTCGTGTTGCCCTCCAGTGGCTGAACTAAAAAAAGGGGAAAAAAGCCCACTGCAGTATTTTTTATTCTGCCTTAGAAATGCAGAGAAGTCTACATACTGCGAAAGTACAATGGCAAATACTAAAAAGTTACATCATGCCAATTTTTAATATATTTCTATAAAATTAATTCCTCTCTCCCTGTTCCTTAAGGGATACAATCTGAAGCAATTTTCAGTCCTAGGAGTGCATGCTATTTTTTCCCTGGCACACCAGGCTTATACAGTGGGGCATGGGAAAGCATTTAATGAGAAGACAATCCAGCATTTTGTTTTGACCTTATATTTCAAAGTATGGCCAAAACACATTTGCACAGATAGTGGAAAGCAATGTCTCAATAATACACACCACTGTAACGTAAGTACTTCACATAAATACTTTTTCTGTAATTGCATGTGACATAAATGCTGGTAAATTTACATATGGGAACAAAGGCACAAGGATTTTAAAAGCTACAAATGTATATGATGTCTCAGTACCCCTCTGAGATGCCCTGCAGCTCATATTTCCAGAACATTTAGCATAATAAGGCATTTTCTGTGTTGAAAGTGAAGCTCCTTTCATGAACACCTGTGAGTGCTCAGCACTTACACAGATCTAACTGAATCTCAGACTGAGCACTAAGAAAATGTGACTCATATAACCAGTGCCCACTGGTGAGAAACTTGGGTTCAAGTGATATGTAAATCAGAACACAGGCATAAACAAAACCAGAAAATTCAACTCTTAAAATGTCATTCAGTTACCATAATCATAAGAATTCCCTCTTCTACTCTGTCTCCAAATTTTTGTAATAAATGAGGTAAGAATATTATGACTCCCTTAGTACATAGCCTTAATTTTATCCCAATATTTACTGAAACAGGCTATGATATTAAGGAACAAAAAAGTACCTGTTCCTGTAGTTGAACCTGTATCATAACATACAGACACAAAGTACTTGGTTAAGTTTGCAAGAGAAACGTCAATGTCAGAATTTCCTCCCATTTGGCAGCTGCCCTTTTACAACTTCAATATCCTCTTTATTTCTTAAAGAAAAACACATTAAAGAAATAAAATGAAATTCCATTGTACAGACTCCTCCTGACAACTATATGAGTTTCAGCTGAGCTGAAACCTTTGGACCCCACAGCATATGCTTCTGTCTTTTGAGCTAATTAAATAATTGACAGTTGTGGAAGATTGTCCATTTACAAAGGTCACCTGCAACAGACAGCAACACAGTTAACGCCAGCAGCAAAAAGTGATTCAAGATGAAATGGGCAAAGTCAGAGTGTCTTAAACAGGGGAGGTGTTTTCAGATCAGCTGAGCCAGGTGAATTTCATCCAAAGCAAATGTAAAACTGGCTAAAGCAATCTCAGGAGTATTAATTATTTTCTTTGAAAAGATGGGTGAGATTACAAATATAACATCTACTTTTAAGAAGGCATGAGGGAGTGAAAAGATATCTGAGCGTTATATATTATTCATGTTCCAATTACTAGAAACTAGCATAAGAAATAATTAAACCATTTACTAGGTGCTCAGTAAATAATAAGAAGAAAAACAGGGGGTTTTTTAAAGAATAAGTGGTGACAAATAATCCTTTTTTTGTGTGTGTGAGAGAGAGGCATTTTGGATAGAAGTTATTTATCTTGATTTTAATAAGGCTTTAATGCTGTTTTAAATTACATTCTCATAAGCAGGCTAGGAAGCTGTTGCATATTTTGATGCATAATAAGATAGCTACAAAACCAGCTAGAATGTTATATACAGAGCTATGTCTGGTGCTTACTGTCAGGTGTGGCCATCTCAGGCTGAGCACTGTTCCTCCATGACTTAGCTGAAGACAAAATGCGCTTATGATATCTGGAAATGACACCAACCTGAGAAGAATGGCAAGCACAATGACTGAGAAGATTAGAACTCCAAAATGATTGTTGCAAATTTCATAAATGGTCTGAAAGAGAAAAACCAACAGGATGCAACTTGTTAGATAAATGTGCCGTTCTGTTTATTGGCAATAGCAAACAGCAGCTGGAAGAACTACTGGATGGGCAGCAAGTCTGCAGGACAGTATGTGCATTGTACAGAGGCGTGTGATTCTCAGCGGGACTGTGATAGTGTGAAAAAGGTAAATACCACATGGAGAAAAAGGGTTATAAACAGAGTTGGCTTGTGACTTCATGCTTTCCCTCTCTGTGGCACTTCATAAGGCCTCTGCTGGTGTATTACCGCCAGTGGAAGTTTACTCTGCCTGAGAGATGTGTGTTAACTGCATAGTCTGGAGAAGAGAATGGGGCTGGTCAGAGGGAAAGAGGACGCTGTAAATTCAGCAGCTGCGGTAGAGGGCAGTAAAGAGGAAAAGCAACAGCGAAACTGTCTTTTGGAAGAGGAACTATGAACAGAGCCTCAGTCTTACAGCTCTGTGCAGAAGGATTTGTGGAGCCATTTCTGAAGTATTCTGTTTCCTCTGCGGTGGTGTGGGAATAGGAGTTATGGGTGTGCTGCTTTGAAGTAGTTTGTGTATCAGCTGTGATCCACCCACTTGCCACAGGTCAGGAGCCCCTGAGCTAGAATGTGCCTGGCAGGAGACACCCCGAGTCAATATATTCTCATAACTCATTACCTCACCTTACTGTTTTTCTTCTGTGTTTTCAGGCAACGTTGGATAGTGTGGTATAATCCTTCCTATTTAGCTTTCTCCTACCACAATAATTTTCTAATGTTTCCTAGTAGACTCATTCCCTTCTGTTGCAGAAACTAAACTGAAAATGGACAAGCAGGTACACCAACAGATGGGAGCTGTTAAATCCCCAGAAGGATTGTTTAAAATTATTTTTCAGTTTATTAAAGGCATAGTTTTTTGTAATGTGCCAAGTGTTCATGAGTCATAGTCAGCTAAAGGACAAGCCCTGCGGACTTCCAACTGGTCCTCAAAGTCAAAGACCAGTTTTGCTTTAGAGAGTGAAACTAGTATTTGACATCTTTTCCCTGCAGGTGTATTCCAGAGAAACAACTAAGCAAAGACACTGTGTTAAGGCTTGCATCTCTTGGGAAGGACCATCAGGAATCACTAAACAGACATAATAAATACTAGTGTTGGTCTGCACCACAGTTTTGGCATGTGCTTGCACCCAGGTGTTTGGGAGGACCTCTTGGGAGAAGAAAACTGTGCACACCTCATGAAGCCCAGTGCAGGAGGATGCTAACAGATGTGCTTCGAAGCTGTGCTTTGCTTTGGGTGCCAATTTCCTGTCTACTTCATCTTTCAGCTTGCTCCCAAGCTTGTACTGGTAGAAATACAAAGCTGATTGGTGTCACAGTGTCCTTGTCCTGCTTCATTTATCTCTGGAGGGAATTCAATTCATAATTCCTCAGTTTGCAATTAGTGTCTCCTTCTACATATGAACCTAGGCAAAGAATAGGTAATGACTGTAAAGTTAATTCTTCTGTGGAAAGTTCTGCTTCATGTAACTATTTCAATAAAACTACTGGGCTAAATACCAGATGGCTACGGTACTCCTTATTCCACCAGGCATTTATCCAAAGTTTTACCCTGTGGGCAATTGCTCCAAAAGGGAGAAAGGCCAAGTCATCTTTCTACTTTTACATGGAAGCCATTCACATTTGCTCAGAGCTTCCATAAGCAGCTGGGTCCCAGCTGCAACTCTCTGGGTAATACATTCCTTCCTGTAACAAAACAGGGAAGCCGTTTTCCTTAATGCCTTGTAAAGGCATTGATTGAAGTTAAACACAAGGCAGGCCCCTTATACTTCCCCAAAGTGTGTTTATTTAATTCAGGCTTAATTTTGGGGGAGGAAAGAAAAGTAACCAAAAAAGGAGTAAGCAGAGCAATAAGTGAGACCCTCACTAGGATTGATGTCTGACTCTGTTGACAATGAGATTGCAGCTGATCACTGTGGATCCCAAGTCCTCTGAGAGGTCACATATTTATTATTTATACCTAGAGACTGATGTTCTGTAAAATGGAAATGGCCAAATAATCACAAGCATGTTTTGGCAAGTGTTTACAAGCAAGGATGGTCAAGTCATAATCCAGGATAACAAAGCTCCTGTACCTGCTTGTGCATGTCTCTTGTCTTATGCCTAGACTGCAATCTATGTCAGAAATCAGTTGGGGTGGGGGATTGCCTGATTGCTAGCCTAAGAGGGGCATTTGGTCTGTAGCAAGCACTCCTAGTGACTAATATAACATCCATAATAATAATAGTAAGCAGACCTGATTTCCTTGGCTGATTAATCTGAAATCTATTTAGAGAAATCCAGGAAGACAACACACAGCTTTCTCTTGCAGTTGCTGACAGGTTTTTTTGTCTACGGGTTTCCCAGAAAATGTTTGTCACATTGCCAAGCTGCTTTGTTCCTTTGATATGCAAAGTTCTTTGAAGAGAGAATCCCTCAGTTACAAATACACCCAAAGCATGGCTATGTAGTAAGGAGGGAAGTGGGATTTTTGTCTTCAGACATCACTTAATATAAAAAGGAAACACTTGTGTTTGCAGGGTCAGTCTTCTGGTGCAAGATTTTTGAAGTGTTTGTGTGAGATTTACTCTTTTGTACCTATGCTAATATCACCACTTTGCAGTCTGTTTTGAGAATAATTATGCATAATAATGTGGGTTTTGAGGTACACTAGAATAGAAAGAATACTGGTAATGATATTCTCAGAGGATAGAGGGAAGGCAATGGAGAACAAGTACTCAATATATATGATGAAATATTTGTCATTCTCATACAGCTCTACTGATGATCCAACAGGTGCCAAGATCTATGTGATACAGCATTCTCTTATAAAGCAGGGTTCAGTTTCATCAAAAAGCCTGGATGTAATTTGAATGAGAAATTCTCTCTGTTGTTAATATTGGGAGAAATCTAGTGTGGTGCCAACGTTTAATAAACCATGCCCCACTGGT